TTTCGAACTTTATTTTATCTTCACGGTGAAAATGGCTACCGAATGCTATTATTGTGTGAAAATTCTCGATTTTATTTTTTAAATTTTTAACTTTATAATGCTATGACATATTGAAAAGTGTATGGATCAACATTATTTTTTTATGAGAAATAATATTTTTTAATAATCCCTTTTTCATTCTACATACTTTATCTTAATTAGGATATTAATAATGAACTAGCAGATAATGTAGCTTTTGGAATAGTCCACCAATTTTTTAAAATTAAACACTATCTAAAGATTTGCATCGAAGCGTTTTTTTTTGATAGTGATTTTAATCACTGTCAGATATCATTATACATAATCCATCTATACCACGTCACCACTGTGCCGCGACCCCCCTGTGCTGGGTTTTTCTAAGTACAATAACAAAAAAAAAAATATCTTAGAATGACAAAATACTATCATTAACAGAGTTATAAGACGTGATAACACAATATTTTTGTAGTTTCTGAACTTTTTATCTCTACTAGCGATTGTCTTTTTTATATTATAAGTATCAATTTTTTAATTGTGTTAAATATGTCGTCACTTCGCCAAAAAATTTTTCTTGTTGGATTTTTTAAACACCAAATAACCGGAAGTAAATTCCTTCGAATGGTGACTATTTACGTGTTTTATTCTATAATATGCGAATTGCCAAGCTTAACTTTAATGTCAGTGCATCATCGGTTATTGAAGAATGTGTTATATACTGGAAAAAAGCAAAAATTCCTACACAAGAACTACATAAATGTAAATTGAAACTACAAACTTTATGAAGTGTGGCAATCACTCTCCAAACCTATTAATAGAACAAGTGAAAGTTTGAATAAACAGCGAACTGAATTTAGCGATTTTTTAAATGATTTGTTCGATATAGCACATAGAGATGCATTAATACTTATTAAGTACGATGAGGATAAGCAATTTTTAATCAAACAGCGTGAAAAAGGACGAACAGGCTGTATGGTAGGTATTGATAAAAAAGAAGAACTAATGAAAAAAACACGACAGCTAAGGATAGAAAAAGAAAACGAAAGAAAACGCAAATCTGTAGGCATTGGCATTCATTCTACTTCAGGTATGGCTATCAAAAGTACTAATATTAAAAAAAAAACATTTATTCTTAAGAGTATTGAACCTTGAAAAGTAAGGGTATGATGTATCATTCTATCCAATCGACTACAGTTCTTGACTTACAAATTTTATATTTATGTCATATAAATAAAAATATAAGCTTTTATAAAAGGACAAAAATTATTATACTATTGTATTGTAATATTTTAGCGGAGTTTGATGTTGCCGATTCTGAAAATTGTTCATCTGATTCCCAAATTGATTGCATCGAAGAAGAAATAGTTCAAGAACAAGAAATAAAAATCTATGAAAATCCCACAAAAAGGCCCCGCAAAGAATTATTAACCTCTCGACTATCTGCAGCTTTAGATAGATGTAACGTTAGTGAGATTGTATACATTTAATAATGGCTTTTTTGGATGATGTATCTCTAGATCCATCGTCTTATGTTTTAAATCGGACATCAATTTCAAAACAACGGGAACCATTTCGAAAAAAAAATTACATAAAAATTAAAGAAAAATTTTCTCAGCTCAATGACAAAATAGTAACAATCCATTGGGACACTAAATTACTACATGATATAAGTGGCAAACCAGTCGAAAGATTGGCTGTAATTGCTACAGATGCTGGTACTGAACAACTTTTAGGTGTTCCAGAAATACCTGCTGCTACCGGACTTGAAATGGCATCAGCTGTATATGATACGTTGGAAAGTTGGAACTTAATAAAAAATGGGATTTGATACTACAGTGTCAAATACTGCCAGGATAAAAGGAGCATGCATGTTATTGGAACAAAAATTAGAAAGGGATTTATTACATTTTGGCTGCCGACATCACGTTTCAGAAATAGTATTAGCAGCTGTATTTGGGAAATCTAAATTTTCAATTTCTCGGCCTGATATCCCACTATTTAAAAGGTTCCAAGCTTATTGGTCCCAAGTAAATACAAATAATTTTGTTCCAGGCATAAATAGTTCTGAAATAAGAAGTGTTGTTGATGATGAATTGGATAATATTTTGAAAAATTATAATATTGCTATTTATAAAAAATATCCTCGTGAAGACTATCGTGAGCTTATTGATCTTGTAATCATTTTTTTGAGAGGTATATTCCCCGGAGGTATACAATTTAAGAAACCAGGAGACTATCACATGGCAAGGTGGATAGCTAAAGCCATATATGCATTAAAAATTTATTTATTTCGTACTGACAATTATTGTGAGTTCAATTTAACTAAAAATGAAGAAAAATCATTAACTCTATTTACATGTTTTATTGTAATATGCTACATTATATATTGGATTTATGCACCAGAGGCAATATGTGCACCATTAAAAAATATTCAGTTTTTACAAAAATTGTATCAATATAAAGATATTGATCAAAATATCTCTAAAATAGCTATTGGAAAGTTAGTCAATCATTTATACTATTTAATAAACGAATGTGTAGCTTTTTCATTGTTTGATGATAGTATAAGTGTTGATACTAAAATCAAAATAGTAAAACAAATGACAACACTTGCTGAAATTGACGAAGACAATAAAGACTACCAAATAAAAAAGCTGTCTTTAAATTTAAATCAAGTACCTTTATTTTTAGAAAAATGTGATGATGATGTATTAATATCCCTGTTTAATAGACATTCAAAGAATATTTTTCAACGATACAAAATTAAAAATTTTTAACACGCTTATATTAGTTTCACTTGTATGTGTGATGTGTGTTGTGTGATATGTGATGTGTGATGTGTGTTTGTAACTTTCCAAGCGGCACGTGTTATTGTTCTCGCGTATTCCGTCGTCTAGACTAGACGTCGTAACGCATTCACACCACCCCGCTCACCAATCACCGGCAACACTAATTCTGTATAATTTTATGCTTTTGGTTTTCGTACCCGTACACGCGTGCGTGACATCAATTATATATATATATAAACAAATTTTTATTTTGACTGACCAATACCGCCCGCATGTAATGCGCCTTACGTATATATATTTATATATTCCTACCGCCGCTGCCGCCGTTTATACCTTAGGTATAACGTTCCCTCCCGCCCACAAAACAAGTCTATACCTAGTGCATGATACCATTACGTACTGATGTCGCCTTACTATATATATGTATGTATGTATGTGTATATATATATTCCTACAGCCGCCGCATATGCCTCGCGTACAATATTCCCCCGCGCCCCGCTTGCCCACAAAACACAGCTATACCTAGTGTTACATTGTTACAAACAATGAGAACAATAGAAACCCGTTTCCTGACTTAGTGAACACCCTGTATATTATCACTCTTTATTCTCATCAAGAGACATAGTGTGTATTCATTCCGATTACAAAGGATGATTCCCGTATCGTCACTACCTCCTCGTGTCGAAAGTAAGTAATTTACGCGCCTGCTGCTTTCCTTGGATGTGGTAGTCGTTTCTCAGACTCCCTCCCCGATATCTAACCCTGATTTCCCGTTACCCTTTACAACCATGATATTGATAGTAACTACTATCATAGCATGAAACTAAAAAGTTAAAAATAATTTTTAACTTTTTAGTTCCATGTGCTTTAAAAGCGTGTTTTTTTAGTTTTTTTAAACTATATTTATTTACATATACACCCATCTCAGTTGTCAAGCTCTCGCGAATACCAACAAGGTAAACAAATTATTAAGGAAATAAAAGTAGTAAACAATTCAGGTGAAAGGGACTTAACTTATACAAGATATCAATAAAAGTATAAAAAGAAATGAATCACAAAAACAGTTCTTGTTACAAGTAAATATATATATTTGTTAAAAGGTTACTTAAAATTATTTTTAACAATATTTTTTTTAGTTGGTACAAGATTACAGAACTCAATACCCTCAGGCGACAAAAAAAGTTTTAAATCAGGCGTACAATAAATAAATTCTTTGATTTTAATAGTAAATCATATAGAGTATATAAATATAACTGCATTTTTATTATAATTATTTTTTTTTAAGTGTTTTGTAAAAGTATTGAGCAATTATTTTAAATATTTTTATAAATATTTCAAAAACTATTAGTTTTAAGAGAAATTATCTAATAACCTTTTTTATTACAAATTTTATGTTTAAATTTTTTTTTGTAATGCGAAAATTAAACTAGATAATTACAAAAAACCAAATGTTTGGAAGTTTTCATAAATAACGAGTATTGTCGAGTTTTATTATTTTAACCAAAAAGTATTAACTAATAGCGAAATTGTAAGAAAATCTTTTTTATAGAAAATTACAATAGCTAAAATATTATATATTATAAAATTTTTCGTAAAACAAATTCTGTATCCTAAAAATGTAAAACACTGAAATTTTTCAAATTTTTCCAAAACTTTGAGCTATATGTGCGCCCAGTTAATCAAGTAGTATAAAACTCATATTTTTTAGAGATTATCTTTAGACATAAAGGAACAAATTTACGCCCGGCGCTTCTCAAATTTTAAAACTGAAAAAATAGTGACCACCCAAATATATATATATATATATATATATATATAATTGAATCACTTAAATGATAAATATGACATGTCATTAGAAACAAATTTCAAAGAATTAATTAATTTATAGTACGTTCATGTTTCAAAATGAAATAGGGAACATTATAAATGGGCCTAGGTAATAAGTATCACTAGAAACATATGATGAAACTAATATATTATCTTAATAAATTATATTATTATGATACGGCCCGCGTCGCTTCGTTATACACGATGCCTCGTGACTCGTGCCACCTATATCAGCCGTCGCCCTACAATGAGTATTTGACTGACCAACACCGCGTGTTATACGCTACGGTGCTAAGTCCAGAAAATACCGTACGGCCGACGACGACCGTACGAAGTACGACGAAGTCGTGTCAATTATTAAAATTAATTTTTCAATGCATGTTATTGAATGTTAGTAATTTAAGGCTTACCTTCTGCTGAAGTATTAACATTTAATCTCACACCTAAACATAGTAGATTAGTTTTTTTATTTAATATTTTTAATAGTATTGAAATTTAATACTGAATTAATTATTAACTGATATTTTAAAGTATAGTCATAATATATTTTATTGTTTAATTAATAAATCATTAAAATTAATTCTTTTTGTTAGTTTATTTTATTCGAAATTAAACGTAAATACATGTAAATTTCAAATATATAAAATATTACTTTTTATCTCATTAAACATTATATAAACTATACATATTACCGAACACATAATAAAATAATATTGACTTAGTTTAAACAAAATGAGAATACAAAGTATTTTATATCATAATAGAGATATATAATAACATCACTTAAATGATAAATATGACATGTGGTTAGAATCAAATTTTAAATCAATAAATCTTTCGTTTAACCATTAGGTTTCAAAAAGAAAGAGTGATATAATATAGGGTACATTGAAAATGGGCCTACATAATTAGGATCACTAGAAATCAATGATGAAACTAATATATTATCTTAATAAATTATATTATTATTCCAATAAACTTTTCAGTGTTTTTTACTGAATGCTAGAAATGTATTGCTTACCTTCTGCTGAGGTACTAACACTATACCTCACACCTAAACATAGTAGGTTAGTTTTTTTATTTAATATTTGTAATAGTACTCTAATTTAAGAAAGGATTACATTATTATCTACTAATAATAAATTAAAATTATAATAAATTTTATTACTCTAATACTAAACCATTAAATTTTATATATTTTTTAAATTTATTTTTGTTGAAATTAAATGATTATTCGTTTACTTGTAGAAATATACAAAAAAAAATACTCTTTATCTAAATTAAACCTTATATAAACTATGCTAGTTACCCAACTCAAAAAAATAAGACTTAATTTATTTTAACGAAATGAAATGTAGTGGAAATTTACAATAAAATAAAGATATTTAAATACATCTATTAAGTGATAATTGTTGTGTCCCACCTAGGATGAGACACGGTAACGTGTTGGAATGGAATATCGTTGTAATGTGAAATAAAAATAAACTTAAAATAAACAAAAAAATACAATTATCTGTTTAATTTTAGGAAATAAAATTATTCATAACTTAGCAGTTATAACACAATATTATTTATACAACGGTTCGAACACGATTAATTAATCCTTAATCGAAACTAGTCTTTGCCTACTTCTAATTATTCACTAACGCCAATACACTAATACCATTACAATACGGGTTCATAACAATAAATATGAAATGTTATTAGAAACAATTATTCTTTGATTCTATGTTCATCTTTAAAAATGAAAGAGTGATATAATGTAATTGGGTATATTGTACATGGGCCTACATAATTAGGAACTCAAGAAATCAATGATAAAACTAATATATTAAAGATATTTATCATAATAAATTATATTATTATTTAAATGATATTTTTAGTCGCATTTTACTGAATTATAGTAATTTATTGCTTACCTCCAGTTGAGGAAATAGAATCAATATTTACACCTAAAAATAGTAGATTAGTTTTTTATTTAATATTTTTAATAGTATTCAAATTTAAGAAAGGAATAGATTTTTAACTACTGCTAATTAATTAAAATTATAACAGATTTTATTGCTAAAATACTGAAACCATTAAATTTTATTTATTTTTAAAATTTCTTTTTGTTGAAATTAAACAATTTTTCGTGTAAATATAAAAATAAAAAAAAAATTTTTTTTCACTAAATTAAACTTTATATAATCTATGATAGTTCCACAACGCAGAAAAAAAAGTCTAAATTATTTTAAAAAAAATGAAAGTACATAATATTTTTAATCATAATACAGATATATTTGCTTCACTTAATTGATAAATATGATGTAATTAGAATCAAATTTAAAATCAATAAATCTTTGGTTTAACTTTCATGTTTCAAAAGAATAGTGTGGTATATATAAATAGGATAAATAATTAGGATCACTAAAAATCAATGATAAAAATAATATTATTAAACAAATAAACTTTTCAGTGCATCTTACTGAATGTTAGTAATATATTGCTTACCATCTACTGAGGTATTGACAATCCTCACACCTAAACATAGTAAATTAGTATTTGTATTTAATCTTTTTAAAAGTATTTAAAATTAATACATAATTATATTTTTAACAGATACTTATAAATTATAGTAATAATATAATTTATTGTTGTATTAAACCGTTAAAATTAATTCTTTTTGTTAGTATATTTTATTCAAAATTAAACGTAAATACGTGTAAATGTCAAATTTAAAAAATATTACTTTTTCTTTTAATTAAAATTTATATAAACTATGCGCATTACCGAACACATAATAAAATAATATTGACTTAGTTTAAACAAAATGAGAATACAAAGTATTTTATATCATAATAGAGATATATAATAACATCACTTAAATGATAAATATGACATGTGATTAGAATCAAATTTTAAATCAATAAATCTTTCGTTTAACCATTAGGTTTCAAAAAGAAAGAGTGATATAATATAGGGTACATTGAAAATGGGCCTACATCATTAGGATCACTAGAAATCACTGATGAAACTAATATAATAAAGATATTATCTTAATAAATTATATAATTATTCAAATGAACTTTTTAGTCGCATCTTATAGTAATTTATTTCTTACCTCCTGCTGGGGAAATAGAACTAATATTTACACCTAAACATAGTAGATTAGTTTTTTTATTTAATATTATTAATTTATTATTATTTACTCTAATTTATGAAAATATTGAATTTATTACTTACTAATAATAAATTTAAATTATAATAGATTATATTGCTCAAATACTATACCATTAAATATTTTAATTTTTTTAATGTCTTTTTGTTGAAATTAAACAATTATTAGTGTAAATGTAAAAATATATAAAAAAAATTGATGTTTCACTGAATTAAACCTTATATAAACTATGGCAGTTACGCATCTTAGAAATAATAATACATAATTTATCTTACAAAATGAAATGTAATAATAGTCACATCAAAATAAATATATTTAATTACTTAAGTGATAAATATTAAATGTACTTTGAATCAAATTTAAATTCAATAAATCCTTGATTTAACTTTTATGTTTCAAAAAGAAAGAGTGATGTAATTAGAACATTTAATTTAAATTAATTTAAACATGTCATTATAAACAAATTTCAAAGAATTTATTAATTTATACTACGTTCATGTTTCAAATGAAATAGTGATATAATGAAATAGGGAACGTTATAAATGGGCCTAGGTATTAAGGATCACTAGAAATCAATGATGAAACTAATATATTATCTTAATAAATTATATTATTATTTAAATGAATTTTTCAGTGCATCTTACTGAATGTTAGTAATTTTAGGCTTACCTTCTGCTGAGGTATTAACATTTAACCTCATACCTAAACATAGTAGATTAGTTTTTTATTTAATATTTTTAAGAGTATTAAAATTTAAGAAAGGATTACATTATTCACTATTATTTATAAATAAAATTATAATAGATTTTATTGTTCAAATACTAAACCAATAAATTTTATATATTTTTTAATTTCTTTTTGTTGAAATTAAATGATTATTCGTTTACATGTAGAAATATACAAAACAATTACTCTTTATCTAAATTAAACCTTATATAAATTATTCGAATTACCCAACAAATTAAAAATAGTATTGCCTTAATTTAAACAAAATGAGCGTCTATATTATTTTACATCATATTATCATCAGATATAAAATTGCATCACACAAATGATAAATATGAAATGAGATTAGAATAAAATTTAAAATCAATAAATCTTTGATTTAACCTTCAGGTTTCAAAAAGAAAGAATGATATAACGATATAGGGTAAATTATAAATGAGCCTACATAATTAGGATCCCTAGAAATCAATGCTGATACTTATATATTAAAGATATTATCTCAATAAATTATTTTATTATTCAAAAGTACTTTTGTCAAATATTACTGAATGTTAGTAATTTATTGCTTACCTTCTGTTGAGACAAAAGGACCAATATTTACACCTAAACATAAAAGATTAGTTTTTTTATATAATCTTTTAAATTAATAATTTTAACCTGTGCCGAAAATAGTTACGCGGTTAGTGTAGTAGGTTGTCAAAGGTCTCATTAGTGTAAAAATCAGTTTACTGCTCATTGTGTTGTGTTCCAGTATGACATTAAACAACAAAAAAGAAGCGGATTGAGCAATAGTGCCATGAGTGATGGTGTATGCGCAATGGGACCATCATATGCGTTTGTCGGCTTACTTATCAGTTGCCTTGTTTGTGTATGACACAGATGATAGCACAATGTTGATTGATTAGTGAATGAGTAATATGGAAGAGTACGTAATGTTATATGAAAGTATTGGTGAAAGTAGAAAGTAATAGTATCGTGTTTTAGATGTCGAGCTGTTGGTCATTCTTCAAAAACTTGTCTCCAAAAACCGACTTTAACTTGTTTTAAATGTTCAAATCCTGATCACAAAGCACGAGACTGTCATGTGAGGAGAAATACAAGTACAATTAAACAAGTAGACGACACCAGGTACTTCTCAAATTACTATGGCTAATCAAAATAATAATAGTCCAGTACTCCAAGTTGGGCATGCAGAAGCACAGTCCAAGTACTTTAAAAATACTGACATAAATGGTACTACAGTTAGAGCATACGTCGACATGGGATCTGCGACTGTTGCTATGTTTTTAAGTGATGTCAATAATCTGTTAATTGATTATGATGCTCAAGTAACAGATGAATTTTTTGGTTATGGATTTGGTAAAGTTCATTCGTTAGGTCGTTTTGAGACAAATAAGATATATATTGATGGGGTAGTAGCAAGAGTGCCCGTTAATGTAGTGCCTGATGAAATACAAGATATACCGTTGTTAGTGGTACACCCATTTACTGAACAACCACATATCATGATCACTATTATTGCTGCAGAACTGAAAGTAGAGCAAGTCATGCCCAATGTAGCTGTTATCTCTAACAACAAAGTACCACTATGGTCGACTACGGCCGTGGTAATACCGAAAAGTCATGTTGGACATATATCGGTTAGACTTTTATAGATGGCTATAGTAAGTATGTTGTTTTGAGCGTAGTGAAAGATGTGAGTGACTAGGAAACAATAGTGTACGTATGATTTTTTATAAGTCATTATGGTAGCCACTTCCGTTTAGTATCGATTGAGGTTCCGCTTATACTTCGGTAATTTTTGAAAATTTTTGTAGAGATCACAATATTATACATGTAAAAACTGCAACCTAGGGTCCTAGGAGTAATGGTTAAGTTGAAAAAACAAACGGTACTACTATTAAATGTTTAACAATGATAACTGATAATGAGGAGAACAGAGATACAGAGATTGGGATATCAAGTTAAAGGAAGTACAATGGTCTGTAAATAATAGTATACAGACAACAACAAAATATAAACCATTTGACGTTATATATAACTACAAAGTAAATGAATTAATTATTAATAGTTTGAATAGAGAGATAGAGATAATTAGATTAAATAAAGAAAAGGTTGAAAATGTTAATTTAATATAAAGACTAAAGAAAAATAGGGAGAAAATGTTGACAAGAATAAATGAGCGAAAAAAAAATCAAAGTACAACACAGGTTACTTAGTAATGGTTAGGTGGGATACGCCTGCTACAGAACAAAATAAAAAACTAGAACCAATGTACAAAGATTCATATGAGATAACTTAAGTGCTTAGGTATGACAGATATGTAGTACAAGATATAACCGCGAGAGAGTTATTAAAAACCATTCAGTGCTGTGATAGGCTTCGACCGTTTTAAATTGGTAAACTTAAATGTAGAGGAATGATTGAAAAAAAAAATGTCTTTATCTATTAATATCGTACTGTTGTTGTCACTAATGTCAAAAAAAAAAAATATATATATATATATATATATATATATATATATATTTTAATATAAAACTATTAATGTTCATCCCTTATGCCTTGTAAGGCTGTCAACTTTGTTTTTTTAAATTGGAACACATATTTTGAATTTAATAAAATATTTAGATTTTTAATTCAATAGTAAATGGCATTTGAATTTTTAGTGTAACTTTATTAGTTTATTAGATAAAAACATTTAAAGTTTTAATTTTTTGAGTTAATATACATGTATAATACATAAGGGATTACTATTGAATTAAAAACTCAAACATTTTATTAAATTCAAAATACGTGTTCTCATTTAAAAAAACACATTTGACACCATTACAAGACATAAGGGATGATTTTAAAAAGTATTAAATAGTTAATTATTCAAGAATAATGTATAACTAAAGATAATAAAAAAAAAAATGTTTAAATTATATTTATATTGTAAGTAATTGCGTGAGTTATGATACCATAAAAAACCAATTAGCTACTCGTATTTGTATTCTCTTGTGTATTATATAAGTATATTAACTCAAAAATTTGAAACTTTAAAAGTTTAAATTTTAAATAAATTAAAAAATGTTTAAATTATTATTACTCTGTAAGTAATTGAGTAGGCTATCTTACTGAATATTAGTACTATTGCTTACCTCCTGCTGAGGAATTAATATTTACACCTAAACATAATAGATTAGTTTTTTTATTTAATATTTTTAATAGTATTCAAATTTAAGAATGGAATACATTATTAACTACTTGTAATAAATTTAATATACCAAAGATTTATTTTTAAATTAAAAAATAATTAAAAGTTAACTATTTTCGTTAATTTTTTTTATTCGAAATTAAACATTAATTTAAAAAACCATCATACTAAATCGTTAAATTTTATATATTTTAGCTTCAATGCGAAGCTGAGAAGATATTGGTTTTACTATCAAGTCATTATTTTTTTTTTTTGTGACTGTTACCACTTTTTCTCAGATCTCACTGGACCGATTTCTTTCAACAAAACATCACAAATCGTATCTAGTTAAAGGCATTACCCTCAAAAATTGAAAAAAATTTCCTCGTTCCCCGTTAATGGAGGAAATCTCCAAAAAAATTACAAATTTAAAAATTGCTCATTTTCGAAATTTTTTCTATTTTTTCACTTAAAATTGCCATAACTTTTTTAAAAATAATCAAATCAATATTATTTTTTATAGATGTATGATGTCTTTGTCTTTAATTTAACATATTTTTTTTGTATATCTGACACTTTACCTGTCCACAGAGATTTAAAATCACATTTTTTTTTTTTTAAATTAACTTTTTCAACTTAAATTTTGAAAGTGTTTCGGATTGGATTCGGATACTTTATCATGAAAAAAAAAAAATTCGGACTTTATTTTGTCTTCGCATTGGAAATAGTTGCTATTTTTGTGTGATAATTCTAAATTTTATTTTTTACATTTTTAACTTTATAATGCCTTAACTTATTGAAAAGTGTATGGATCAATACAATTTTTTTATAAGAAATAATATTTATATCCCTCTTTTATTCGATATATTATATCTTAATCAGGATATAAATAAGGAAATAGCAGATCATGTAACTTTTGGAATATTTCACAAATTTTTTAAAATTAAACACTATCTAAAGATTTGCATCGAAGCGTTTCTAATGATAGTGATTTTAATCACTGTCAGATATCGTTATACTTGACCCAACTATGTCACGTCACCACTGTAACGCAACCCTTTTGTGCTGGGTTTTTTTTAAATATCTTTTTGTTGAAATTAAACAATTTTTCGTGTAAATATATAAAAAAGTACTTTTCACTAAATTAAACCCTATATAAACTATGTTATTTCATCAACTAAAAAAAAAAGGTATTAATTTATTGCTTACCTTCAGCTGAGGTATTCACACTATTCCTCACACCTAAATATATTATATTAGTTTTTTATTTAATATTTTTAATATTATTCAAATTTAACAAAAAATTACATTAATATCTACTAATAAAACATTTGTGTTAACTATAAATAACTTTTTTCACATCTAACTTTTATACAGGGTGTTCAGTAAGTCAGGAAACGGGTTTCTATTATTCTCATTGTTACAAACAATGAGAACACTCTGTATAAACAATGCAAGTTACCAAAATCATAAACAATAATAGTTAATTTATTAAAATAAAGTGAAAGTACATAGGATTTTACATCAAAAAGAGATATATAATTGTTTAACTCAAGTGAAAAATTTGACGTGTAATTGGAATCAAATTTCAAATAATTAATTAATTTACAGTACATACATTTTTCATAGAAAATTTCGATTTATTAAAATAAGATATGTTCTAAATGGGTTTAGTATTTAGGATCACTAGAAATCAATGATGAAACTAATATATTAAGGATATTATGTTAATAAATAGTATTATTTTTCAAACGAACTATTCATTCGTATCTTACTGAATGTTATTAATTTATAACTTACCTTGTACTGGGTGAGTGAAAGTAAACCCTAAACGTAGTGAATAAGATAATTTAATTAGTATTTTTAATAATATTCAAATTTAATAATGAATTTTATTATAAATTGAATTAATAAATTATAGTAATAATATATTTTATTTTTAAATCATTAAACCTATATAAATTAATTGTTTTTGTTAATTTCTTTTATTTTAAATAAACATTAAAAAGTGTTACTTTAAAATATATAAAATTGTGACAGTTATAATTTTATAAATTTTAAAAGTTACTTTTTTTTAATCTAACATTTACATAAATAATGGGAAGTTTCAAAATAATAAAAAATAGTAGTTAATTTATTTAAATAAAATAAAAATAGTGTTTTATATCAAAATAGATATATATTAGTTTCACTCTATTAAAAATATGACATGTAATTAGATTTAAATTTCAAATAATTAATTAATTTATATTACGTTCATGTTTCCACAGAAAATATTGATATATTAAAATTGGATGTGTTGTAAATAGATCTAGTATTTAGGATCACTAGAAATCAATTATTAAACTAATATATTAATGATATTTTCTTAATAAATTGCATTATTTTTCAAACGAACTATTCATTCGTATCTTATTGCATTTTATTAATTTATAGCTTACCATGTGCTGTGGGAGTGAAAGAAAATCCATCACCTAAACATAGTAAATTAGATAATCTATAAATCTTTTTCATATTATTCAAAATTAATAATGAATTATATTATAAACTGAAATAATAAATTATAATAATAATATATTTTATATTTTATCATTAAATCATGTAAATTAATTGTTTTTGTTAATTTCTTTTATTTTATAAAGATTTATTAAAATATGATATGTTGTAAATGGGTCTAGTATTTAGGATCACTAGAAATAAATTATTAAACTAATATGTTAAAGATATTATTTTAATAAATTGTATTATTTTACAAACGAACTATTCATTCGCATTTTATTGAATGTTATTAATTTATAACTTACAATGTGCTGAGTGAGTGAAAGGAAATCCATCACCTAAACATAGTAAATTAGATAATCTATAAATCTTTTTCATATTATTCAAATTTAATAATGAATTATATTATAAACTGAAATAATAAATTATAATAATAATATATTTTATATTTAAATCATTAAATCATGTAAATTAATTGTTTTTGTTAATTTCTTTTATTTTAAATAAACTATAAAAAGTGTTATATTTAATGTATAAACAATTAAAAATATTTTCTCATCTATCCTTTATAGTTTATATAAAGGATAATAATAATAATAATAATAGTTTAAATAAAATGAATGCCCATAATGTTTTATATCAAAATAGATATATATTAGTTTCACTCATGTGAAAAATTTGACATATATTTAGAATGAAATTTCAAATAATTAATTAATTTACAGTACGTTCATTTTTCATAGAAAATTTTGATATATTAAAATAGGATATGTTGTAAATGGGTCTAGTATTAGGGTACACTAGAAATATAAATTTTTTTGTACTATCATTGTGCCTATTGTGGAGTTAAATTAGCTATATATCTATTAATCAATATATATCTATATTTATATATTGTGTGGTTCTTAGTGGTTTAGTGAATACCTGTCAATTGTACCTATTGGATTACGCGTTAACTATATCCTCGAAAGAGGAATCTAAATTTTCCGAAAAGTTAAGGTAAGAGGCTTTGAGCTGATTCAGTTTTATTTCTAATTGTATTAGATTTTAGTTTTATCTTGGAACGGTGAAATCTTATCGGTATCTTATCTTATCTTAAATCGGTAAAACAAATTTTAAATGTTCATATAGTTATTTGAACGAATTTTACTGGCGACATAAGTGAAATTTTACTTGGGTTATTCACAGTTACGCATTTGCGGTATTAGATTTAGCCTGGTCTCTGGGAAATATTTATAAAAATAATGTTAGAGTAGTTCATTTAATACAATCCGCTGTAAATATTGTCGTTGAAAAATGTTGGTTACAGTTTGTTATAAAGACCTGATTGATATCGACAAAAAGTGAATTTCCGGCCGATAGTTACAGTCTTTTGGTAGATAAAAATACTATATTTTCGTCTGACCGATTTCCTGGTAACCGTTATTATTATTATTTACTCGCTGCCATATCATAAATGGCGGCCCCGTACCATTTTATCGTGGTACTTTATAATAACAATAGCTATAATTATAACACTTGTTTTTCTACAGCAGTAGCAAATTTGACCGTACACGGAGATATTGTTTATCTTTGCTTTTAAAGTAGCTACATTTGATTATTAAGGTTTGTAAATAAACATAATACTCACGGTGAATATGTCGAGGAAATCATTAGCACAAATTAATTGCGCTGAATTACGTCGCGAATGCTCTTTTAGACAGGTACTATGCTACGCGACGAAACCCAACATGCTAATTATGCTAGAGGAAAACCTACGTATTGAAGAGATGAACCCATCTATCGAAATTCTACCACCCCGTACGTCTTTCGATAGCAAAATTCCAGTCCGCCAACCCAAAGGGGTGGTTTTTGACAACACTACGGACCGTCTCAGGGAAGAAGAGATCGACGTGAATAATCAGCGGCCCGTCGTAGCGCCTTTACCGGAGGAACATCCGGTGAACCTCGCGCTACGTACATCAGTCGACGAATCTGATGTCGATCAACCGGGAAAAATAATGCGCGCAAGCAGAAAACGTTGAGGACGTATACGTTGCCCGATCGATAGCGCAAGCAGCAGAACAAGTCGGGGCGATCCAACAGAACATTCTCGACATTTCGAATAATGCACGGATAACTGAATTAGAAAGGTCGCTGTCGCGTATTTCAAAGGAACAGTGACAGATTTCAAACATGCTTAAGCGAATCAGTCAAAATATAATGCCGTCCCCACATGTTGCTGTCCAACCGACTATTCGACAAGTGAACGTTGAACTAAATGATAGTCGACGATCGGACGTGCATCGCTACCAAGGATGTGTAGCACGTGTTGGCAAAATGAATAGTATCCGTGCACTCATACATTTGAGAACGAGCCGACCGACTTTTCGTTTACACGCCAACCATGGGAGGGACAATTTAATACAACCGACAGTCGTCGGTCTTTTAACGATTTGTCACCTACCTACAGCTCGCGGTCTGTATTGTTACCTTACCATGATCTGCACACTGTACGCGCCTGCTTAACTGAATATTATGAGAGAAATGAAGAGAACCAACGAGAATTTCTGGATAGAACGGAGGATCTACTCTGCCAGGGCGGTATACACCCAACCGCGTGGCTGAACATCGTCGTCCCGTTTTTTAACGACAGGACAGGTTATTGGTGGTGAACCATAAAACTAAATAATATGCCATGGACGAATTACTCGAGGAGTTCGACAATATCGATATCAGGATTACGCTCGAGACGGACTTAAAAACGACGCGACAGGGCCCCCGACAAACGTTAACCGTGTTTATTATTCATAAACATCGTTTAGCTGTGCGAGTACGTTGTGGTTTACCGGAACAACAACTTTTGCGACAGTTAACGGGGCATTTAAAACGCGCCTTGCCGCTACACAATTTTATCCGGTAAAAACATAGTACATCATGACCGTCGCTCACAACACCGAATCTAACGGCCCTTACGATTTACTTATCACCAACAATCTTGGCACTCTTTCAGCACCCCTCTTATAGGAATGTAGGGTATGCCATGGCAAATTCGGATGTAATCAGGGTATCGGAGTTCGAACACACTGCTGACATGACCGATTATAGCGTGAGTCAGGTGTTCGAAATTTTTTTGGGGGAGGGGGTGTTAGTCAACCCGGAAAGTCCATTAATGGCAGTTAACGTTGTCAGTGGGCAAACCGGATCGTGGTTAAGAACCAGCTGCCCCTCGTTCGAACCATAAACCACCCAAATAATGGCCAACTATGACTATTGAAATTGACTAATTTCAACATTTTTCATACTTTTTTGATAAAAATAGCCATAACTTTTTGAAAAATAAATAGATCGAACAAATTTTTTATTATTAATATCTTAGTTATATCCCTTTCATTTAGTGTTTTTTTTTTTTAAAAAAAATAACTTTTAACCTTTATGTGACTGAAAAAAAAAACAACTTCTTATGACAGTGTGGGTACCCGGTACCTACAATATAGTTATCTGTGCTTTTCCGGTAAATTATTTCATTGTCGTCAGTCTATCGCTTTATATCTTATTATATGTAATTCTTTTCGTATCTGGTATACATAGATCTAATAAAGAACATGTATCAGAAATGTGGAAATTAGACTCGTTACCTCTTATTCGAGCTGCAATGTCTCGAGATNTTCGTATCTGGTGTACATAGATCTAATAAAGAACATGTATCAGAAATGTGGAAATTAGACTCGTTACCTCTTATTCGAGCTGCAATGTCTCGAGATCGATTCAAAATTTTGCTAAAGTTTATTCGTTTTGATAATGGAAACACACGTAATATACGTATTACAACAGACAAAGCTGCACCGATTCGTGATATTTGGACATGCTTAATAAAAACTTACATAAAAATTATATACCTACAGAAAATATAACAGTAGACGAACAACTATTTCCTTACAGAGGACACACAAAATTTACACAGTACATTCCATCTAAACCTGCAAAATATGGAATAAAGATTTTTTGGGCTTGCGATGCAGCAAATGCTTACCCTTTGCATGGTAAAATTTACACAGGCAAATCACAAGATGGTAAACGTCAAGTAAATATTGGTGAACGTACAGTTCTAGACTTAGTTGCGATGTATAAAGGTTCTGGGCGAAATAAGACTACAGACAACTTTTTTACAAGTATGTAATTGGCTACTACATTAAACTCTTGGAATATGACATTGGTTGGTACTGTCAGAAAAAATAAGAGATTCTTGCCTCCCAAAATGCTTCCATCAAAAGCCAGAGCGTTACATTCTACAAATTTTGTATTTAGAAAAGATATAGCTCTTTGTTCTTATGTTCCAAAAATAAATAAATCGGTTATTCTTTTATCTACAATGCATATGACAGCCGACATAATGCAAGCTGCTACCGCTAAACCAGAAATTATAAAATATTATAATCAGACAAAAGGAAGAGTAGATACAATGGATAAAATGTTAACAAAATACACAGTAAAGCGAAGAACTAATCGTTGGCCACTTGCATTTTTTTTCAACATGATTGATATTGCTGCTTTATCTGCATATATTATATATATGGAACACAATCAAAGGTTTAACACAACTGATCGACGCCGAAAATTTTTAAAAGAGCTTGCAAATCAGTTATGTATGCCTGCAATAAAAATTTGAACCTCCATACCTAAAGTAGTAGGAAATCGATATACTCGTAATTCAATGGAAATGGTTCCCGGACGGCCAATACAACAGATAATTGCTATTCCTAAAAATGAACCACCTCGTGATGCTTCAGAACGTATTCAAATAGTTGGAAGTTGCTTAGTATGTCGAGATTTGGTTATAAGCAACGGAAAACTCGAAAAGCTTATTCAACTTGCTCAAAGCCTATTTGCAATGAACACTCAATAAACAAATCATTTTGCGAAACTTGCAATCAACAAAAAACCTAAATATGTTATAATACTTACTAAATATGTAAAAAATAACATTTTTGTTCTCTTAATATTTGTATCTATTTTATTGATGTCCAGTAAAAATATTTATCAATGGTAATTTAACTTTTTTTTGTATCANTTATATATTGACGTATATATGGGCCTACATTATATGATAGGTGTAGTAATTTCTAGATAGTTCTAATACTATAATAAAACAACTATAAACAATATATCAGCCACAAAACAATAAGTAAAATATTTACGCTAATACGACACTAAGTTTTTCTTGATGAGCAAAAAAGAAAAAAAATTAAAGGTCATGGAGGGCCTTGAGGTTAGGTACAAGCAGGTTAACGAAGTAAAAATTTCGGTGGTCCCTTTTTTCTCAATCAGATTGCATAAGTACAAAATGTCCATGAATATAAATAATATGAATACAAGTGATTACTATGGTTCAGGTTCGGTAAACTAATGTGAGCATAGTTCATACCTGTGACTTTTAAATTAGGAAAAAGAGTTACTCAACTGAAATTATTGCTTAAATGCGCGAAGATACAGTTAGTAAAAGTCTATTGTAGCTCTCGACTATTAACGTGAAAAGCCTACTTATGAGCGACGTGTACACAAAATCATTTGCAGATAGAATGTGTTATTGTTTCGAAAATTATATCTATCATTCATATCATATCAGAATTATCAATTCGAAAAAAGTGTGTTTTTAAAGTGCATTCGACAGTAATCGTTTTTACCGATCAAATACACAAAACAATGCTTAAGAGCGTAATATGATAAAAACGCAAACTATGATAGTGTATACTTCTAATTCATCTTACTATGGTTGCAATAACACTGAACCAGTTTACAACGATTCACAAGAGATGGTTGCTAGAGTGTGATTGTAGGAGATGACAGTGTGGCCTTGGCGCCAATATGGAACACAACGCCATCTCTGGAGCGTTGTTTGCGTATCGTTTTTACTAGAAAGTCCTCTTAACCGAAACAAACAGAGCGTCGGATAATTTTGATATATTAAAATATGATATGCTGTAAATGGGTCTAGTATTTAGGATCACTAGAAATAAATTATTAAACTAATATGTTAAAGATATTATCTTAATAAATTGTATTATTTTTCAAACGAACTATTCTTTGGTATCTTATTGAATGTTATTAATTTAACATATATAAACAATTAAAAATATTTTCTCATCTATCCTTTATATAAACAATGCGAGTTTCAAAAAAAAAAAAAAATAGTTAACTTTGTTAAATAAAATGAAAGTACATAGTGTTTTATATCAAAATAGATATATATTTGTTTCACTCAAGTAAAAAATTTGACCTATAATTAGTTTAAATTTCAAATAATTAATTAATTTATATTAAGTTGATGTTTCAACAGATTATATTGATATATTAAAATTGGATGTGTTGTAAATGGATCTAGTATTTAGGATCACTAGAAATAAATTATTAAACTAATATATTAAAGATATTATTTTAATAAATTGTATTATTTTACAAACGAACTATTCATTCGCATTTTATTGAATGTTATTAATTTATAACTTACAATGTGCTGAGTGAGTGAAAGGAAATCCATCACCTAAACATAGTAAATTAGATAATCTATAAATCTTTTTCATATTATTCAAATTTAATAATGAATTATATTATAAACTGAAATAATAAATTATAATAATAATATATTTTATATTTTATCATTAAATCATGTAAATTAATTGTTTTTGTTAATTTCTTTTATTTTATAAAGATTTATTAAAATATGATATGTTGTAAATGGGTCTAGTATTTAGGATCACTAGAAATAAATTATTAAACTAATATGTTAAAGATATTATTTTAATAAATTGTATTATTTTACAAACGAACTATTCATTCGCATTTTATTGAATGTTATTAATTTATAACTTACAATGTGCTGAGTGAGTGAAAGGAAATCCATCACCTAAACATAGTAAATTAGATAATCTATAAATCTTTTTCATATTATTCAAATTTAATAATGAATTATATTATAAACTGAAATAATAAATTATAATAATAATATATTTTATATTTTATCATTAAATCATGTAAATTAATTGTTTTTGTTAATTTCTTTTATTTTAAATAAACATTAAAAAGTGTTATATTTAATGTATAAACAATTAAAAATATTTTCTCATCTATTCTTTATATAAACAATGCGAGTTTCAAAAAAAAAAAAAATAGTTAACTTTGTTAAATAAAATGAAAGTACATAGTGTTTTATATCAAAATAGATATATATTTGTTTCACTCAAGTAAAAAATTTGACCTATAATTAGTTTTAAATTTCAAATAATTAATTAATTTATATTACGTTGATGTTTCAACAAATTATATTGATTTATTAAAATATGATATGTTGTAAATGGGTCTAGTAATTAGGATCACTAGAAATAAATTATTAAACTAATATGTTAAAGATATTATCTTAATAAATTGTATTATTTTAAAACGAACTATTCTTTCGTATCTTATTGAATGTTATTAATTTATAGCTTACAATTTGCTGAGTGAGTGAAAGGAAATCCATCACCTAAACATAGTAAATTAGATAATCTATTTAATCTTTTTTATATTATTCAAATTTAATAATGAATTATATTATAAACTGAAATAATAAATAATAATAATAATATATTTTATATTTAAATCATTAAATCATGTAAATTAATTGTTTTTGTTAATTTACTCATTTATACAGTCCACTCCCAAATTCTTTCTCCTGCATGATATAAATACTCCAGAAACGAACAGTAACTAACCCGCATATTATAACCGGGCGTTCCGTTCAAACAATTTTAAATATTTTATTGTTCTATTTTTATAATTAACGTTAACCTTTTTTTTTGAAAAAAAAAAAAAAATTAAAAAAAAGTTATTCTATTATTTAGGGTTATAGAGGATGTTCAGGAAGTAACGAAAAAGTTCGATTGTTATTAAAATTGAGAACAATAGAATGATATGACCTTATTGACTGAACACCTTACACAATAAACATTACTCTGTATAAGTCACTCTTCAGAACTTAAAAATATTTAATAATAATGACATCTTTTTTTTTTTTAATCGGATTATTTCTCTTTATACAGGAACAACACAATACTTAAAACTTTTTCAACTTAATTTTTGAAAATGTTACAAAAATATTGACTTTACACCTAAAAACAGTAGATCTATTTAATAGTATTCAAATTTAATAATGAATTATATTATTAATTGGTACTAAAAAATTATAATTATAATACTGATTTGTACGAGTTAGCTAGACTGTAGGACAGCTAGTTGTGCACCGCACTAGTATGCCATTTTACCTTAATTCTGTTTAAATCGTTAATTATTGATGCGGAGTGAGTCACCTAGGAGATGACTGCTAACTATACATCCAATAAGTAAACGAGAGTAGACAATAATTAAATAACAAATAATCACATATATTAGAAATTCTTCAGAGAGTATCTTTAATTTAAGAGGTAACGGGGGGGCCTTAAATACTAATGTCTGGCGAAGTGGCATAAAACAAAAGAGTTAAACTCAATTAAAACAAACAATAAATAACTTTAAAAATAATATAAACTCAGCTGAATAGATGACGTTGTTGATAATGATGAGTGGACTGTATGATATCTTCTGGTAATGGTGTCGAACATCTGAGTATGACGAGTCAGAGTGTAAATCTAGGTACATAATGGCAGATGAGAATAGACTACGGCAATGAAGATATTTAGTTATGGTCAGGGCCCAATCACTAGTGGCATGCAAGAGCATGTTAACTTTGAGCACAAGGGTACAATAAACAAGTGTGGGTTATATCTTACAACACACAATTATTTAAATGGCGGTAGACTTTTATTAAACAAAATTATAACACTAAAATAGACGTATAAACACTAAAAGAAAATATATGTATATACAGTAAGGAAAAATAAAATAATCGAAGTAAACATAATACACGATGACAACAGCGGCGGGGTGTAGCGGTCGTGTAGCGTATCGCGGACTAGACAGTCTGAACTGAACTAACTGAACTGACTGATTCTTCCGATATATATATAGCTCCGATAAGGCTCTCGCTAATTCTAGAATATTCTATANATCAATAAGTTATATCATTATAAATTTAAAAATGTAAAAAATAAAATCGAGAATTTTCACACAATAATAGCATTTGGTAGCTATTTTCACCGTGAAGACAAAATAAATTTTTTTTTTTTGCATAATAAAGTACATTACATTAGCTTTAATTTAAGATATATATAAAAGTGTCAGACTTTCCGGAACACTTTCAAAATTTAAGTTGAAAAAGTAAATTTTTTGTGAAAAAGTGGTCATTTTAAATCCCTCCCTGTGGGCAGTTAAAGGGTCAAATATAAAAAAAAAATTATACCAAATGAAAGGTAATGATATCATGCATCTATATAAAAAAAATTATATCGATATGTTCATTTTTAAAAAAGTTATGGCAGTTTTTAGTAAAAAAAATTGAAAAAATGTTGAAAATTAGCGATTTTTAAATTTGTAATTTTTTGAAGGTTTCCCCCATTTACGGGGAACGAAAGTTTTTTTTTTCAATTTTTGAGGGTAATGTATTCGACTAGATACGATTTGTGATCTTTTGACGTATCATTGAAAGAAATCGGTTCGGTGAGAGCTGAGGAAAAGTGGTAACAGACATAAAAAAAAAAAAAACACATCTTAGTATTCTAATGTCTTCCCTCAACTTTGCGAGCTCCGTCATATGAGTTACAAAAATTATAATTAGTTGGGAATGGTAATCAGAATATGAACAACGCTGTTTATTTACAGGTCTATTGGATTTTCAATGTACGATTCAATATAGTGGGTATGTTTTATGTTTCACATCACTAAAATTATTAAAATTAAAATTACATGAAATTATTAAATGTATATTCAGACATTAGTAATTAATTCGTAATTTTAAACGTGTAATATAAATTTTAAGTTCAATAAATCTTTAATCGTTTAAAAACTATAGCTATAATTTGCATATTTGCGAATTACCCAAAGAGACTTTATAGTTATAATTATAATTACAAAGAGCTACATAGGCGTATTTATCAGGGTAGCATTGGCGTAATGTTAATATATTTTAGTTCTGTAAGTAATAAATAGGTATCAATAATTTGTATCATTTGTATAAATTACCAGGATTTTCATTGATTAGAATTCGACATATTGGGCACTCTATAAAATCTACATAAAAAATAAAAGTAAAATATCATAATACTAACATTAAAATATTTTAAATATTTTAGTAAAACGTATTGTACGTAATATGTTGTAGTTTTGTTTATTATTATTATTATTTAATATATTTAATATTAAATGATTCTATTTTAAATTTGTTTAAAATCTCATTATCAGCACAATGGTGGATGCTAAACAATGAAAGTTCTAATATTCAACGATGACTACAATATTAATATTTTAAATAAATTCTTTAAAATGAACTATACTTTAAAAATATATGAGAGGGAGTATAGGTGTAGCGTCAATCGTAGATAAGATGAGATAAAATAGACATAGATGGTTTGAATGTGTTAAAACTTTCATGGATTGTCTTGTTGCTTGATGTGCTTGAGGATATATCCATGTTTACAGTTTACTGTATCCTCAAGCAAATCAAATAGATAGTTTGGTCATGTTATGAGAAGAGAGAAATCGGAAGCTGTAAGAACAACTATAGAAATGATTGTTGAAGGACGAAGAGGTAGAGGTAGAGGAAGATTAAAAAAAATATGGAGGGATGTAATTGTATGCGATGTACAATTTTTTAAGTTAAAATAATAATAATATTTATTACATTGACAATTCAATACACATTCACAAAATTCAATATTTATACATATCTAATAGACCTTGATGATTAACCTAGATAATGTATTGTATCGTATAATTAAATTTATTAATATTTTGCTTACCGTTTGAAGTACTAGCACCATCTAAATGAATCATATTTTAGTTTTATTTTATTTTGCTCAAAGTATTCAAATTTAAGAAAACATGAATTTATTAATTATAAATCAATACATTCAATAAATAAAAAACCCAGCACAGGGGGGTCGCGGCACAGTTGTGACGTGGTATAGTTGGATCAAGTATAATGATAAAAAAAAAAAAAAAAAAAAACACATCATAGTAAAACCAATACCTTCTCAGCTTCGCATCGAAGCTAAAATAACTAGTTTGAATTTTAAAAATATGTTTCAATTGATATATATTTATAAAAAAATACAAAATTCACATTTTAGTACAATTTTAATGGTGAAAAAATAATAGAAAAATTGTTATAAATTTGCATTTATTAGACCAATAGGATGTCATTGTCTTATAATGAAACTTGAAGTTTTATTAAACCCTTAAACATTTTATACATTCTTCAAACCAATATTGAACTGTTCTAATTTTTTACTTTTGTGTAACTCAGTGCAGTCTACATAAAATGTGTATAATTTTTTGAACTCAATATTGTACCGTATAATGAAAAAAGGAATGAACGAAAAATTAAATAGGAATAATATTCTGTATTGTACCGTATAATTAAATTTAGTAATATTTTGCTTACCATTTGAAGTACTATCACCACCACCTACAACTAAATGAAGCATATTTTAGTTTTATTTTATTTTGCTCAAAGTATTTAAATTTAAGGAAACATGAATTTATTAATTGTATATCAATAATTTCAATAAATAAAAAATAACTAGTTTGAATTTTAAAAATATGTTTTAATTGATATATTTTTATGAAAAAATACAAAATTACAAAATTCACAAATAGAATAATAAAATGAAATGACATAGAATGATATAGAATGAGTGTAACTAGCGCATACTAAACCACAACTGACTGTAGGGTACCTACAGTGGGAGTCCTTTGTCCATGGTTGCCCTAAAACCCTTGGTCAGCACACTCCTGTGTTAGACGACAGTCGGACGACCATGTATTCTATACTCTACTCATTTATAAAATAATATTCAGGAATTTTTAACAGTACAAAAGTTGTTTAAAAGACAATATTAATAAATATTTTTCGAGCTGCATTACATTAATATGAGTACTAAAATTTATTTTTCATTTTTTCCATTTTATGGTTACTTTTTATCATGTTATACTTACATTAGACACAATGTTATAAATTCATATGTGTGAGTTTATTTATTTATAGTATCATTAAAGTGTAGTGTATATTAGGATACAACCAATAGAGTAGGTAATTGATTTGACGCTATACTGTTTTAACCCAATCAAACGATAAATTGTACATTCCCGGAATTCTGGTGCCTTTTTATTTTTCTTCGCCTTAATCCCAACTACTTGCGGTGGGCCACCATTTTCCTAAATTTCCACTTGACACGATCTCCCACATCATCTACGCTCACATCACCTGTCCTTATATCGTATTCAATAACATCCCTCAATCTCTTTTTTGATCTTCCTCTATCTCTTCTTTCTTCAACATTTATTTACATTGAATTTACTTTTCAGCTTCATTGGAATTCTTTTATCATATAAGACACCAGACGCATCTCTCCACTTCAACCACCCTTACTTCAACTTGCGTCTTACATTCTCGTCAACACCACCGCTCTTTTGCACAACTGATCCTAAATACATAAAACTTTCCACCACCCCTATCACGTTCTCACCTATTGTCACTGATCTCCTTTTTCCTCCTACCTCATGTTCTTTTTTGTCAACCTCGACGGAATTTCTGGCAATGATAAAATTAATTGTCATAAAGTGTATAAAATTGTTCTTATTTTAGTAAACTCATTGGTGGATAATAACTTTCATAATATAAAACTTAAAAGATCAAATAAAAATATAACTTTTTCTTCAATAATTTCTATTATTAAAATTAATGATGAAATAATTTAAGTAAACCCATTGCTACTCTTTCAACTAATCACTATTTAAAAAAAAACAGCAGCATCCCGGCACAGTGGGTATAATTGAGTTCAGTATATATGATATGTGACAGTGATTAAAATCATTATTATAAAAAAAAACGCCTTGATGCAAATTTGTAGATAGTATTTAATTTTAAAATATGTAGTATCACATTTTAATACATGTAATAATTAATACTTATATTTAATAAAATACATCACCAAATCAGTATTTCCCCGTGGATAAGATGAGTAATAAAATAATACCCTTACACAAGATTTAACCTCCCTCTTACGCATTCCATAAAATGCCCACGTAAAAGATTCTCTCACATTAACCAATCAAATACAGCAAAAATATTTCAAGAATCTCACCAGAGATCGCTAAACCAGTTTTTGCAGGCTATAAAAAGGCCATTTTCCCCCAAATTCGGGTGGTTCCTCTGAATATCCCTCTAGCGAATACTGGGACGCCTTGCAATTCTATCTATACATCTCTACGGCTCTCTGGAATACTCAACCAAGATACAGAAAGCGAATGTGCGTGAGTTTATGTCTTATTCTTAGTTACAATTCTATATGAAATCTACATAATTTTTTACCCTCTTTCGTAATTACTGAAAAATATTATACATCTTATTTTCGGTCGAATACTTTTGGTGACATAAATATTCTAATACATATAAAATATTGGTATTTATTTATTTCTTTTATTTACATTTATATTCCTATATATATATAAGCATATTCTAAGGTAATTAATTTGACTGAATTGTACTTATTACTTATTGAAGGGCCATAACCTGGCTGGACAGGGTAATAGTACAATAATATCATAATTAGAATTTTAGTTAATCATAAGATTTATTCAAAGTGTCTCTCCACTTATCGACCAGCTAGTCTGATCTATGCCACAGTGCCGGCAATCGGAGTGTAGGACACTTATATAATTTACAACGCATAAATTATTAATATTATTTTGTAGTATACATTAGATATTCTAAGGTAATTAATTTGATTGAATTGTATTTACTACTTATTGAAGGGCCACAACCTGGCTGGACAGGGTAATAGTACAATAATATCATAATTAGAATTTTAGTTAACCATAAGATTTCTTCATAGTGTCTCTCCACTTATCGACTAGCTAGTCTGATCTCTGCCACGGTGCGGGCAATCGGAGTGTAGGACACTAACATAACTTATCGTGCATAAATCTATAGTACAGTCGCATCTAACCTAGGTCGTCCTACAGGTGATTGAAAAGAAGTAGGCCACATATCATAAGGTTCTTTGCATAAAGACAAAGATATTATTTGAGATCTCGCGTTGGTACATCCAGCTACGAAATACAAATAAATCAGAGTCGAAATATTATACTAAAAACTAATATTTTACTAATATATATTTATAACTAACATCATACTAAACAACTAAAAGTGTCTCTCCACTTATCGACCAGCTAGTCTGATCTATGCCACAGTGCCGGTGATCGGAGTGTAGGACACTAGTATAATCTATTGTGCAAAGAACTGAAATTGAGCTCGCATCTACCCTAGATCACCATTTGGACGACTGAAAAGACGTAGGCCACTTGGAAATAGTTTTGTTGCACAGGACAGTTATGTTGCTTAGAAGTTATTCATTTGCTTTATAAATTATTAAATAATAAATATATTAACGTAAAACATCATATACAAGGTTAAGAACTATACTACATAAATATACAAAAGGTTTTTGCAAAAAGACAGAGTTATAACAAACTTAGATTTCACCTTGGGTAGATTTAATATAGAATTGTACTAGAAAAGTAGTTACACGCGAGTTAATAATAATATAAACCGTATAAATATAATTGCGTACATTAATGCGTGAACGTATACATCGATAATTGTTACATCAACAACATCGTTCATCTCAAGAGAATATCAGGATAATCAGAGGTAAGTGGAACATTTGTTTACATAATAAGTCTATAATAGATCCTTTACTGAAGAATTTTTTAGTAATAAACAATTAGAATAGGATAAGTCGTTAAGAATAAACTGAAATATTTTTATAAAAGGCACGATATTTGTGAATCGTCGGAAATTTGTATGCGCGTTTCTGTGCAGGAGCTAGGTAGTGACCCTTCTTTGTAATTCCATCTTATTCATACATTAGACGTTTTTACACAAGCATACATACCCCGAGATCCCTTTCTATTTCATTTTATTGTAGTCACTACCGGGTATCTATAGACAATTTTGCTTTCTATTGGTACCCATCCTTTTTACACTACGCCTGCTACGATTATTATTTCCTTATTGGCCACCTGTGTTACATTTCAATACATTCCTTCCCTTTCACACCCCGAGCCCCAAACACATTTAACAACATTCCTTCGCCACCTTATTATAGCCATTTTATTTATTACAAGACTACATACCTACACTCACTCGTCTCTCATGTTTTTCTTCTTGTTTATTACAAATATTAATTGATTTTTATAAAAGCTACATAATCTCCTATTTCCTTATTTATATTCTAATTACAAGTTATATACATTACTAGTGCAAAGTATGAAATCTATGGAGGATTTCTCTTCTATAAAGTTATTTGACAAAAGTATCTTTTAATACTCATGAATGGACTGTAATCCTAAATATTATAAACAGAGTATGAAGCTCTACCATGTGTAAACTATATCAAATGTCGTTATAACTTAACTGCATGAGTAACCTACGCTGATTTAACAAGTAATACTATATGCGTTACGTTGTGTAGCTTAATCTGTGAATATTGCGCAAATAGCCCTTAACATGTCGTGGTATCCGCAGAGTACCATCGACACATAACACTAGAGTACCACCTTGCACGAGTACCCTAGATGTAAATCGACCACCGCAGTGCGTCAACAACGATGACTATAAAACGGAAATAATTAAAATATAGTTAAGGCACCATCCTCTAATAATTGTAATATTATATTATTACATATAATATTAACATATAATATGATGTTATCATTTGTACATGTATGTCACATATCATGATTATACAAGATTACCAAAACAGGGTTCTCTTATTTAAGATACAAAATAACCCTTTAATTATACAATAAAATCTCCCTCTTGTAGAAATTATTAAGTAACGCCTACACGCAGGGACCCTCTTTTAATTAACCAATTACAATACAAAGCCTCAGCATCTAGGATCACGGTAGAGATCGCTGGGCTACCCCCTTCACACTATATAAAGCCATTTTTCCCCATCTAAACGAGTTCTTTTGACGATTTTAAAATACACAAAATCTACGACGCTCTACTCAAGATTTCACTCTCCGGAACTTAGTCGATTTTTTAATTAATTTGGACTTAGAATACTTTTCTTTAAAACTAAATGACACTTAGAAATTTTAAAGTGAATTTTGTTTTGGTGAATCTTTTAATTTAATTTAATTTGTTCAATCATTAATAATATTTTATTTTTCTTGTTATGAAAATAAACATCAAATAATATTTTAAACATTACATCTTTTTAAAATTATTTTATTACACAGGACGTAAGGTAAGTACAATTTAACCTATGCTTCCCAACTTCCAACAATCTATAGCGTGATAAACCATTAATAATTAATGAGAGAAACAATTAATGAGAAAATTAATTTAGATAAAATTGAAGACAATTAAATCTACATTAAAATTACAAAAACTTATAATAA